AAGAAGACGACGATGCTTTTGCAAACATTGCAAACCAAACTCCCGTTGAGAAAGAGTGTGGCTACTACATATCCAAAAACGGCACTAAATGGTACAAGGATCCCCCACCGAAGTCTCGGATTCGTGCACATAATATCGCCGACTACACGAGAATGTAACCAGGGTCAGTAGGGACTATTCGTGATCGAATAACTATTTTACGTTCGCTGAGCACTGCAGATATGGCTGATATCATCATACGCGAAACGTATCGAAAGGCAAATCAGGTGACTGCTTGGTGGAATGCTGCAAATCCAACGAAACAAAAGGTGTGGAAGCCATTCAATTTTAAAGTGTGTGAGGCATTTTTGGCCATCGTTTTGCATGCTAGGCTGTCGAAGTCAAATAACGAGCCAGCAAAGGAACTCTGGAGTCCTACACATGCTTCAATATACAAGGCAGCATTATCATATGACCGATTTATGTTAATTAAAAAATTAATACGTTTTGATAACGTGAATTCACGGTGGGATAGACTACTCTCAAGCAAAACTGCTGCTATCGATGATGTTTGGTTGATGTTACAACATAATTTAGCAGCAGCATATAACCCTCACGATTCACTTACAGTAGACGAGCAGTTATTTCCATATCAAATAAAACACCTCTTTGAGGTAAAATTTTCGAGCGACGAAAGCTGAACTAGAAACACAAAATTTATGATATCAATTTCGTGACGAAAATTATACGAATTTTTTAACTGCCTTTGAAACGTAGGGAAAATCTTTTTTATTCATACGAATCATTGCAAAGGTTCTGTTTTTTATTTTGTGTTTCTAGCAGTGGACGGAATTTTGCAACGTTCCGAATAAATAAAAAAAGATTTTCCGTACGTTTCAAAGGCAGTTAAAAAATGCGTATAATTTTCGTCACGAAATTGATATCATAAATTTTGTGTTTCTAGTTCAGCTTTTGTCACTCGAAAATTTAACCTCAAAGAGGTGTTTTATTTGATATCAATTATTTTGGGGTAGCAAATTTAAAATCGATGAAAATACAAACAATAATCTAAATGTTTTATTTTTCTCAAATAAATTGCTAAAAATATTATCTAAATCTAAATTATGTATTCAAATCGATTTGTCCATTGAAACATATAATTTTTCGAATACGGAATAAAGCGAAAAAGCATGATCTTATCCTTTGTTTTCGAAAATATTAAAAAAATTAAATAAAATTATGAGAAATGATAAAAACTGATCAACTTGGTACCAACTTTGGATAAAATTAACAACTGTATTCGTCTGTTTGCCTCGTACTTAAATTTTTGTTAAGGTTTCTACCAGGTGTGGGAGCACGCATGTGCTTTTTTTTTAAGAAGTTTTACTTCTATCGCGTGTACGATGTTGCACTCGTGCTATTAAACTAAGGCTTTTTTCTCAAGTAGTTTTGCTCTGTGGCAATATATACATATGTATGTATGTAAGTAGTAGCGGCACATTGGGTGAACTAAATGTATTCATACATACATATTTATGTACAACTGTAGGTAACGCGTCTTCCCAGGTAGGTTAAGTGCGGGTGATATACCCATGTAGCATAGTTACATACCTGCAATTAAAATGGGGAAAAATGTTACAATTTTGGCATGAGACTGAAAAAAACTCTAAAATACATACAAATTGTGGTTTCCAAGACATGTACGAAGTGATTAGCACAGCTGCATTATTCAACTTGTCAACTCGCGGGAAATACCCCGATTTCCAGGGAATTTCGGTTTAAGTGGCAATCGGGGAATTGGCTATTTTTTTCGGGGAACTGGGTATGTTATTTTTATATCTTAAAGTAACCACGGACATGTTAATTTTTAACAATTTTAGCCTTTCTGGAGCGACATTTTTTCAATTTGAATCGCAATAACTCCACAACAGGAGTGTTCCCAGATATGAGCTATATACCAGATGAAAACTAAGGTTTTCCGCTAGCCTTGGGGAAACTTAGAATAAAATCGACTGACCAGTTTTTGAGAAAATGCCCGAAATGTATATTTTCATCAGCCAGAAGTTTTCAGACGGTAAAGTTATGACATATTTATATTTTATAAACAGAAAAGATAGCGTTAGATAGCTTGTTTGAAGGCCTCAGTGGTAGTTTAAAAATTGCCTTTTTCGAATTTCAGGCAGCAGCCACGCCCACAAAGGCATACGAATCAAAACATCCTGGAACAAAACCTTCTTAGTTTTTCTTGTACTTTAATTCCTGAAAGTTTGAAAAAAATTAAGTGAAGGTACGTACAGACGCCACATACATACCAAAGCATCTCGTAGTGGAGACACGAACCAAAACACATTTACCTCTATATCTTTCCAACAAGTAGCCGGAACTTAATATGTAAGGTATCGTTTGAAAGGTATTAGTCTATAGAATAACACTAAATATGTTGGGTGTACCCACATGCCCCCTTAAACCGGCAAAAGCAAAAAAACGTTTTTTGTTTCGCAACACTTTAGCCTAATTTTTAACTTATCGTTAATCGTTAATAAAGCTTTAATACATTTTCTGGACATACTCTGCAATATCTTTCCAACGATATCTCAAACATGTCGATTGGACGTCTGGATAAAACTTCCAAATCTCGTGTATATATAAGCGAGTCATTTCAGCATGCTACTGTGGCTGCTTTCGTCACTCGCGCGCACTGCCGTGCGCTGTAATAGAGGGCGAACACGACTTACTCAGTATATTCCGTCAAAACCCGCAAAGTACGGGATAAAAATTTGGTGGTTGTGTGACTCAAAGTCCTTATATCCTCTCAAAGGGAATATTTACGCCGGAAAGTTGACAGGCCAAGAGCGAAAGGTTAATCAAGGTCAAAATGTTGTGAATCATTTGATTGGAAAATATCTTCACACGGGTCGCACAGTATATACTGGCAACTTCTTTACAACGTTGGATGTGGCTTTGCCATTAATCAGACAGAGAACTGCGTTCGGCACGTCCCGTTTTTAGCTCAATGTTTGGGTTCTACGGAGGTAATGTTTCTATGTGCTCATATGTGCCAAAGAAAAATAGATCGGCCCTACTTTTATCCACAGTGCACTATACTTGTAATCAGCGTTGCCATTTTAGCCGGTTTCCGGCTAGATTTAGCCGGTTTTGATAGCAACTAGCCGGAGAAAATTCGATCTAGCCGGCAGCCGATTTGTTAGCCGGTTTGTAAAAAAAAGTTAGCCGTTTTTAGCCGATTTTACTCTTTGCCTAATTTTCAGGTGCAAAAAGTAAACAAGTTGTTCGAAAGCAATAATGCAGACCCAATGAAGATTTTTAATGAACTCAATGTTTTACTTTCGCATCTATGCTCCCTAGTGGTTATTAGCGCGGACACATTTGATCCTATATGCTCCCCGTTGGAACCATACCTTGCTTAATTTCCTCAGTTTTATCACAATTTTGAAGAGTATTTAAAAACAAAAGTAAGCACAAACGCTTTTGACCACAAAGCCGAGAAAATAATTCGAGAAAATGGTCGCTATTTTATTATCACTTTAATAAAGGAATTACGCCAACGCCTCTCTACAAATATTGCCACACTAAAAAAATTTACTTTTTTCGGTTGGAAATGCATTAAGAGTAATTAAACCAAAAGTATTTGTTCAATTACAGCAACAAAAACACAAATATAATGCCGACGAAATAACATCCATATAGATGCAATGGCAACGGTTAACGTTACATACCTGGAGTAATTTAGACTCAACTGTAAAATTTTGGGCCGAAGTTTATCAATTTCGAAATGCCCTAGGAGAAAACCCTTTTGCTGACCTTTCCAACCTAGTTTTTAGTTTTCTTGTTTTGCCTATAAGTAATGCAGAAGTAGAGCGAATATTCAGTTCAATGAATATAATAAAAACTAAGCAAAGAAATCCAATGTGCGTTAAAACGTTAAACGCTATGTTACAACGCTTTTATCAACTTGCAATGTTGTGTTCCAGAAACTTTCAATGTTGTGTTCCAGAAACTTTCAATGTTGTGTGTCCGACACCATAAAGCAAAGCTTTGAAAACCTCCTATAAAAAAGCATAGTGAATAGGGCGAGGTAGATGACATCTAGATGTCGCCCTATGTATTACGTTTGCTACACCGGAAATAGACGACACGCCATTTCTTTAAATAAAATTAATTGGTGCTCGTTTGTATGTACATACATATGTAAATGCATGTGTGTGCACCTTTCTATTAATATCGTTGAATTATTTTAATATCTATTGCAAACTTTTATTCAGACAGGACTAAAAAGTAGAAAATAAATAATATAAAAAAAACTTTTTAATATACAACGCTTTTATAAATGGACTAAAAAGTAGAAAATAATACTTCTCAGTCCCATAGAATTTGTTTTGATAACTTTTGATTTTGAAATTTTAGCAAAAGTCATTATAAACAATCTATGAAATTGAAAATGAAAAGCGTGGGGCGCATGTAATACACTTGAATTGATATGAAAAGTAATATATGAATGTATGTATGTGGGTATATGAGTAACGACCGCTTAAAATCGATTTCAAAGTTCTACTTTCGCTGTAGAAATTTTAGGTCTACGTTATGTAGTTTGACTATTGTCAATTAAATCGAATGCTTTGTATATAAATTAATGGTGTTAACTAGTCTTTCGTTTCTTGCGATTATTTAAATAAAGCATGTGAATTTTCACTAAAACATTTTAGCCGTTTTTTGCCAGAGTCTATGTGAAATTTCACTAAAACATTTTAGCCGTTTTTAGCCGCTTTTTTTTGCCAATCTAGCCGGTCGGCCCAAAAAGTTCTGGCAACACTGCTTGTAATGTAGATAATGAATCCGAAAAGCACAAACCAACGGTCGTTCTGGACTACAATGCCCATAAATCTGGGGTGGACACCATGGATCAAATGCTCGGTACATATTCATGCTAACGATCCACAAAACGCTGGTCGCTTGCAATGGTAGATATTGCCGCATTAGCCGCGTTTATAATATATGGCAAAATGGATCCAATTAAAAAATCTGCTAAGCGACGATCGTTCTTAAAATCACTAACGAAACAACTAGCGATTTCAAATATTGAAGACCGAGCCACTAACGTACGCATAACTTGCTATGCCAACATTCGTAATGCTATGGAAGCACTTGATGTAAAGGTATAGCCAAAATTAAATTATCATGCAAATAGATATGGAAATATGTGGTAATAATTTGCATTTCCTATGTTTACAGGTAATATCAAGACCAGCTCCAGGAACTGCACCTGAATATGCGCCACGCTCCAACCGTCCGTCATGCCATTTATGTCGAGCACAGTATAAACGCCAGCGCAAAACCTGGTCATATTGCTATTCCTGCAACAAAGTGGTCTGTGCTGGACATTCCACAACGTTGCACCGATGTCATAGCTGCACTCCTGGATAAATCATTGCGAATAAAAAGCATTATATTACACTAGTGAACCCGCAAGGCGTTAAAACGCCCAAGATAGAATTGCAAATACCTTTAAACTACTCCAAATATTTTTAAGGTATAAGCGATTCCAGTGTAATATTTCTTTTAAATCCGTGTAGCCGTTTCGCATAGAAGGTATTCAATATTCTCATTTTCGTTGTTGGTGTTTCCGACAGGGTAGGAGTGTGATGTAATGTGGAACGATTTTCAGTCATCCCTTGTCAAATTTGGTATGGAGATAAACCGGTGTCGGTGTTGTGCCATCTTCAGTGTCATTTTTCGTTCTGAATAGTTTCTGTTTGTCTGTCACTATTTATAGCCGTGTTAAATCGTCGTTGGTTCATAGTTAGGTACGTCTCAGCGGATTATATTCTTTCGTTCAACCAGTAGTTTCAGTTCTGTGTGTACATCCTCAGGTAGAAATTAGCTACTCACATCTTTTTTGATTAATTGTTGCATGGATTCGCAGGTAGGTAAAAATCAGTTATTTTCTTTCTCTTTGTTTCATCGTTTATGGTAGTTGCAGGGTTTCTGTTTTGTTTTGCGTATAGTAGCCTGAGTGGTTCGAATAATATATCAGATGCGGCGTTTACTTAGTTAGTTAGTTAGTTAATTTAATGGGTGTAATAGAACAGAGACACCGCGACCTAAAAGATCTTTTGTATCTCTATAGAGGAGTCCCTAACCCAATGTGGCCAAGATACCTTCGGCTTCTCTTATGAATCCTAAAAGGGCCTTGGTAGACGAATTCCTTATAACAAAGGGTTCGACCAACCAAGATTTAAAGTAAATCAGTCTTTGTCTGGCTAAAGCTGGACAGTTACAGAGAATATGCTCCGAAGTTTCATCGGCCTCGAGGCAGAGCCGGCATTCCAGCTCTGTGTTCACCCCTATTCGGTGTAAGTGGGACCGCAATTGGTTGTGACCAGTCAGATATCCAGAAAGTAACCTGATGTCAATTCTGTTTTGTAGGACGATGTCGTTCCTGTTAAAGGGGTAGCCGAATAGCCTGGCCTGTCTAAGGCCCCCCATCGCTCACCAGTACTTACTGCGTTCTGAGTGTACCCACTCAGTGATTATGGCTCTCGAAGAGGACCAACTGAGACCACAGAATGGTTCAGGTCCCGAAAAGGCAGTAAGCGATCCTTCACGTGCCAACTCATCAGCGATCTCTTTGCCTTCGATTCCAGAATGGCCTGGTACCCAGAACAATGTTACCGTGTTTTTGGCTGCCAAAAATTGTAGCATGTTAAAGCAGTCTCTAACCAACTTAGATTTGATAGTCCTGTTTGAAAGGGCCCGGATGGATGCTTGGCTATCTGAACAGATGACTAAAAAAGCGCCCTTTAAACTCTTTTCAAGGTTTAATTTTGCGCAGTTTAAGATTGCGACTATTTCAGCCTGAAACACCGTGGACCATTTGCTCATGGGAATTGTAAGTTTGGTGCTAGGTCCAAAGATGCCTGCACCCGCTCTGTCCGCCATCCTTGATCCATCTGTGTACCAGTGTACATATCTGAGATCAAGGGCAGGGAGCCCATTTGCCCAATTTTCGCGATCGGGGATTATCACTTGAAATTTTCAGCCACAGCAGACCTCCTTAGTCATGGAATCAGAGATTCCGCATATATCCAACCCTGGTATCTTCCCAAGAATACCTGCATGAGGGTTCTTTACGAAGAAGCCGTCGTTAGATAGTCGAAGTTGCAGCTCTCTCGTGGCTGCTGATTCCTGAATAAGAATATGGAGAGGAGTCCATCCCAGGAGCGAATCTAGAGCCGCAGTTGAACACGTTCTTATAGATCCTGTGACGGATAGACATGCCAATTTTTGCAGCTTGTTAAGGCGAAGTTTGGCAGTTTTTTGCATTGTCTTCTGCCACCACGCTATGGATGCATAGGACACAATCGGACGGACGATCATACGGTAGAGCCACTCAATCAGCCTTGAGCTCAACCCCCATTTCATACCAAAAAGTTTTCTGCAGGCCCACGTGGCTCGTGTGGCTTTAGCAATCGTTATGTCAAAATGGGAGTTTCAATTAAGTCGCTTATCTAGCGTTATCCCCAGATATTTGACCTCATCGGAATATTCAAGTACTGTCCCTGCAAGAGTGACCGAACCAAGGTTTGGTTTATATCTTGTTGTAAATGGTATTAGAACAGCCTGCCGAGGATTTATGCTGAGGCCCTCATTGGCACACCAGTTTGAGACCACGCGAAGAGCTGCGCACGTAACATCAGAGACAGTACTTCCGAATTTCCCCGTAACAATAATTGCAAGGTCATCTGCGTGTGGGATAACATCGTAACCACACTCATGTAGTCTGATTAAGAGGTCATCCACAACAAGTGACCAAAGCAAGGGAGAAAGGACCCCTTCCTGTGGGCAGCCTCTCACGGCTCTGATCTTCACTTGAGTATTGCCCAAGGACGATGTAACTTCGCGCTCACGAAGCATAGCGTGGATCCAACCAACAGTAGTAGGATCTAAGCCTCTTTGGGCCAATGCCCTTGAGATAGATCCATAGGCAGTAATATCGAAAGCCCCCTCGATGTCCAAGAAGGTACACAGAGCGATCTCCTTTGCCTCGAAGGCACTTTCGATCCTACTAACCAGATAATGTGGATTTCCTTTTAACATACGCGAATTGTGTGTGATGTAAGGGAGTGAAAGTGTTAAGTCTCTCCTTAATGTGGAGGTCTAGAAGTCTCTCTAAAGTTTTGAGGGTGAAGGAAGTTAAGCTAATAGGTCTGTATGATTTAGCTAAGTCAAGGGGCCCGTTGCCCGATTTCGGAACAAATAACACGGACACCTTCCTCCAAGCAAACGGTATGTATTCCAAAACAATAACTAGCCCTAAATATACAGATCAGGGGATTAATAATATCCTCAATGCTTCTTGGGAGTAGTGCTGGGAAGATCCCATCACCACCCGCTGCTTTAAAGGGTTCAAAGACTCTACCGCCCACCGTACCTTGTCCCTGTCAAAGATGGAGCCAGATCTGCTTTGACTTCTCACTCTAGGGAACCTGTGTTCCGAGGAGACAGAGGTAATCAGATCATGCTCCACCAAGGAACCTGGGAAATGCACTTGAACTAGGTGATTTAGAGTCTCCCTGTTATTGTTCGTAAAGGAGCCATCTTGCCTCCTTAGGAGGCCTATCCCATTGGAAGACTCCTTTGATAAAATTTTATGCAGACGCGAGGCTTCAGGTAACGTTTCAATTGGTCCACAATGTCGCCTCCATGAATCCCTCTTCGAGCGCCTAATACTCTTATTATAGTCAGTGAGACAGGCCTTATACTCGTCCCACTGATGTGTCCTTTTGGCCCTGTTGAAGAGCTTCCTGACAGTTTTACGCTTAGCATCCAGTTCCCCATTCCACCAAGGAACCTTATATTTCATCAAGGTGGAACAAGTAACTGTGCTGTCATGGAAGGATTGCAACAGAACTCTGTTAAGCAGATCCGCTGCGACATCCATTTCGTCGACTGAGTCATGGGTGGTTAGCAACGAGTCGGCCCTAACTTTTGCTAAGGTTTTAAATAGGGCCCAGTCAGTTTTCTTGGGCTGGAAAATCAAGCCTCGGAGCTCAGATCGCCCTGGGATCTCGAAGACTATGTGTTGATGATCCGGGAGCGATGCTTCTTCCGAGACTTGCCAATTCCAAACACAATCGGAAATTGATCTGCTGCAGAGAGTGAGATCTAGTACCTCCTCCCTGACGGCAGTAATAAATGTAGGTTTGCAACCCCTGTTAGCAAATTCTATGTTATTTTGTAACAGATATTCTAACAGGTACTTACCCCTTATGTTGATATCGGAGCTGTCCCACACCGTGTGGTGGGCATTCGCATCACAACCAATAATAAATTGTCTATTTGTACGTCGACAAAATTCGACGAGCTACTGCACCGCCAACGGTGGTATGGTGAGGACGTCACCAGGAAAGTAGGCGGATGCAAGGACAATTTCCTACACCCCACCCACCGTCGACACCTCGATTACAGCCGCTAAAAGGTCCCTGGAAATAAAAGGAGTAAGAGGTGTGTTATTGAGGTTGCCGTTAATCAAAATGGCGGCGCGGGGGGTATCCCCAAGCCGGTCGTAGATTAACCTACCTTAACTACCCAGTCCTCTTACTTAGCCTCCGCTAAACCAAGGTTCTTGAAGCAGACCTATTGCGAATTTGCGGTCGTGGCTAACCTATCAATTGTGGCCGATGCCCCCTTGGCATGTTGTAGGTTAGCCTGTAGCACCCTTAAGGTGCTCATTGCTTCCCCTGAAGCGACGCTTTAACGTGACACTCCTTTTTGTCTCGTCGGGACCCCTTTTCCCTGGCATTACTGGTCCGTTTTGGTCTTACGGTGGTGTTTTTTACCGGCTTGGAAACCACGTCTTCTTGTCGCCCAAAGGCGGCATTCAACGTGGGCTGTCGAGTCACTCGAGGCCACGGATCCAGTCCCTGTTGATGCCACAGGAGCACGGTTGCTTGCCTGTTGCTTGGCAGTGACTTGGAGTCTTGTCCCGAATGTGCCTCGCCTGCACAGGTCTCCGTCTGCGGAATTGATTCAGGAACTTTCACCTCGGCTGCAATGGACGTGTGCCAGCTACCAGCATGCCCGGCGGCTCTGCTGGTAGATGGCCGCACGTCCAGCTCAGATTAAGCCGCGGTAATAGCTTCCCTAGCTTCCTCCGCAGGCTCTGTGACCCCCGCCTCTTTCGGTTGCTGCTCTTTTGCTTGCAACAGCAGTTTTACGTGCCCATATCTGTAGGCGATCCTACCTTTAGCCGCAGTGAGTTTTACCATCGAATCGTGGTCGATTACGATGACCAAGTGGAGAAATTTCTCCTGCACCTGTCTGCGTGACACCTTCCAGCACGCCGTTGAGAGATGTTTCTGGGCTGCGATGGTGCCCAGAACCTTCTCGTTGGTTAACTGGGCGGTGTTTACTTGCTCATTCAT